CGAGAGAGAGAGAGAGAGAGAGAGAGAGAGAGAGAGAGAGAGAGAGAGAGATGTTAACAGAACTTTACAGCGAGTATGCCACGAAAGCGGAGAATTCTGTCATTTTGAGCGACTCGTAAGGGTGCCAGAAAACAACCCTGGGATTTACGTAACTGGTACGGCATTGTCTTGAAATCACCTTGTTCTTCGAGATCTTTTACTCCGCGGTCGTCAGTAATCAGTCTCAGACATAGAAGTATAAAAAAAGCGCGCCCGCGCTTTCCTGCCAACAACCAAGCGTCAGCAGCCTCCCCTTCCCCACGCAAATTCCTCATACAGATACTTTGTTATTTAAGGCACACACCAAAGGACAAGTTTTCTGCTTCCATATGAGCTTAATACAAACGGTCTGGTATAACAGATTGTAGAAGAAAAGGGAATTGGCGAGGGAAAGGCGGGAGTCGGGTGGGGGTGTGGGGTGGAATGAAGTCAGTTCGTTTTTCTACCAATGCATTTAAAAAATGCAATGAATTCACATAATACATATGTGTGCGTATAGTTTTAAGATAAATCTACTTACAATTAAACTCCTTAAAAATATCACAAACAAGTATAATAATACAAAAAAAACTATGTTCTTTATAAATAAAAATTAAAGAAGTTTACAAGGGAAGGAAAGGTAAAGGCAATCGATGTGTGTGTGTTTAAAATTTAAAGTGGAAGAAGCAAAAGAAACGTTTCAGAAACTTAAGCAAGGGTTCAAATTATGGTGTAAGACGAGCAGTTAGCAGCCCTTTGGCTTCCACCCTTGCCATCAGCTCAACATGGTGCAATGGAGGTGAAAATCTTTATCTTGTTTTTCATGTAATTTTGGGGGCAGGCTGTTTTGGCCAGGGAGGGGAGGAAGAAGAAGCTGGAGTCAAAGATCCTGTCTCCTACACTGTGGCCATAAAGTTGGTATTGGGAAGGGCATTATATGATTGATGGTCCTAAAAAGTCAAAATGACAGATTTTTGCACTTGGTCTGGTCCAGGTGGTAGTTTAAAGCTGCATTCTGGAACAGAAAATTGCAGTCTGTTCCTACTCTTTCAAGGCCAGTCATCATGTATCTAAACTTTAGAAATCACAAGAAATACTGTCAAACATGCCTAACCCATCACCCGTACTATCGCAAACAGCCACTGTTCCTTGACACCCTTGCCTTTTCCCTAAATTTTCAAATTGTCCATTGCAACCCCTGTCCAACACTGCCACCGTCAGTCATTTTCACAAGAAGTCTGCCTCAAAACCTGCTCATAGAGGTCATTTGTCACAAACGTATTCTGCTATCCCTTCCTCAGACTGAGTGTGCACGTTTACATGCTAACTAAACAAGAGGGGGAAGGACTTGGTGCTGCATTTACCCAATGACAAGTGAGTTGCTCATGAACTGAGCATACACTGCCGCTGTCTACACCTTATGCATCAGCCACACTGCTTCAGACCTTAGTAAACGCCATGCAGTCACATGACAAGAAGCAGCATGGCAGCTGTCTTACAGAGGCCAGGATCAAACTGTTTTTTTTGGCTTTTTAAAATTTGTTTATTTGCTTTCTCTTGTGTTGTTTCGACTCATGAATGGCCGCTATTCCAAGGGTGTTTGAATCTGTTGGCAACATATATATTTTTTTAGAAGCTCCAATGATAGACACCATTTTGATGGAAACGAAATGGCTTACTACACATATATGTACCCAAGTAAGAATTTATTTTTATACCTGTATTAAGAACTCAGATCCTGTCCATAATGGTCACATGTCTTCTTATTATAATGATAATAACCTTTTCTCTGTGCAATCTTGAGTGACATTTATGGACAGTCAGGACTGGTTCAACTGTAGCAACCATACCGATAACACACATTCCAAAACTACAGACATCAACACATAATAATTTAAAAATTCAACTCACCTCCCAATATCCTCCTGGACGGTATACTTGGTATTGAAAGGATCTGTACAAATAGGACTGCTCGGAACATACTTGCCTGGACTCAGGCCATTCATGATGAAAAAGAAATTATATCCACTTTCAAATCATGCTACAGTACTCCTCCGTAATTGATAAACTTGACAAATGAAATCTGGAGAAAAAAAAAGTATTACTTATTATATAATAGCTTTTGGGAGATTTCGTCCTAAAACTTAAACTTAAAAGCATGAAAAGTGTTATTTTGTTAGTAAGATTTACAACAAAACTGACCACTTCAGATATAACATGCCTGATAAAATTTTACTAAAAGATGTTCTAACACAATGTAGTCTTACAGTACAACAATTTAATTCATTTGTTTAAAACAGTGTGGTAAGTGGTACGTAAAAAAAAATACATCGAAATTCATTAATTCATTTTCCTGGAAACTTTTATCTCAGGGTTTAGAGAAGAAGGCTACTGATAACAACCCTCACAAGCTCTGAAGATTACGATGCACAGCTGAGAAGTGGTTTGAGTCTTCCACATAAATTTGACAGTTTACAACAAGACTAAATGATAATGCAGATATGACCCCAACAGTAACACTGCCACAAATATACAAGTGCCACTGAATATTTATTTGCATTGTTAGACTAAAACAAGAACACAAATGATTCAGAATTTTCTGGATTCATGGTGATGAAGACCCTATTTCTTAATTTCCATGGATACATTTTGAATGAAAAATTAAAGTTAAAATAATGGGGATAGAAAATATAAAGATTTTAAAAGATGCCCATAAAATGGTATCAAATGGCCCAACAAGTTGAATAGCCTGTCCTGTACATTCAAATTTAAGTAACATTATCTTGAAACATCTGCAACAGCTTGCCAACTACAAAGGCAAAAACAACTGATGACAAATAAAATGTAAAAAAAAAACAAACAGAAGCCACGCAAACAAACTTAGAGAGCAAATGTCCTTTCATTAAAATTCTCACTTTAATACAAATTTACCATTAATAGGAGTTTAGTTACGTAAAATGAAAACTGTCTCAGGAGACAAGTCACATTTTTTAATGATTCCCATGTTGTTTGGAACCAGTATTTAAAATTCAAACACATTAACATCATCATCAAGGCAATCAGGATAAATGCCTCGGTATTTATGGATCTGTTCAGCCCTTGATATATTCTGAAAATTTATAAGATGGTCAAGGGGCATCATTATCATAATTATTTCATACTCAAATACACATATACCTTTGAGACATCTGTCAGAAAGAGCAACTTAATACTTTAAAATTTCATCCTTCTTTGCTTTTTTACTCACAAATTTAATTTTTTCTATTTTTAAAAAATCAAAGTGCTAACCATTAAAAATCTTTTTTTTTAAGTATTAAACTGACAACAACGAAAACTTTTTGAAATGGGGATTTTTTCCTGACAGTCTAGTTTTTTTAATCAAAAAAAGACGAACTTAAGAAAACATTATAACATTTGAAAAGTGCCTGAGTGCTTTCATGAGATGGTGCGGCAATTAGTGACATACCGATTTTATAGTATAGACCCAACCACTAACACTACACCCATCAGCACTTTCCTTAAAAACTGTTCAGTTCAATGACAATGCCATGTCACTAGATTTAGGCCTACACCCATTAGCCTAGTAGTCTATTGAGTTGGTAAAAAGTTAGCAGACTAGATTTTTTAAAGTTAGCAGACTAGAGTCTAGATCTAGAGATCATTACTAAACTAATGCACACTGGGGTTTTTTCACATAGATCTAGAGGCTAATAAATATGGCCAGCTCTATTTCTCCGAACACTCAGGAATATAAACTTGAACTCTACTTCAAGATTTCTGGAATCTAAACTAACTTTGTCTAACTTCTGCTAGATCTAGATTTAGATCTAGAATCTAGATCTAGAATCTAGATTCAAGCCTAACACTAGATTAGATCTACAAACTGCTGCATACTCAGAATTTGATCACTGTTGACAGTTGATACTCAGTACGAACGCTCAGTGACCAGAGTGACCAGTCTATACAACTAGATATCTACAGTGCTTAGCTTGAGACGGGAGGGAAAGTAAAAAATACCTAAAAATATAAAATAAACGAAAATCCGATGTAAAACTGGTTCTAACCAAAAAAAAACACACAAAAAAGAATGGTCAGTGACTTGCCTGCCGAACGTCAGTTTGCCGTTGTGAACTGATCTCTCATCGGTTTGATGAGTTTGGTAAGCAAGCAACCTATTTACAACTGAACAGTATGTAAATGTAGGGAACTAGGTTCGAACTTTAGGCTAATCAAATTTGACCCCAACCCTGAGGCTTAAGTTCATAAATAACATGGTAAGAAAGATAAGACAGTCTGACTTGGAAGTAGACGGCAAGCCTGAACTCCACAGCACCAACAGGAGACTGAACTGAAACTGGTAATACAGGGGGTTGACTACTGACTGAAGAAACACCTGAATTTTCTGTCACCAACAAATTCTTTAGGGCAGAAACAATCAACATCAGTTAAAATTCAGGGGACTTACCTCAGTAAAGAATATATAGCCAGCTATGGGGCAATCCCAGCTGATATCTTGACAAAGGAAAGAAACGTGTAATCCAACTATTTTTACTCCAAGTTTTGACCCATTCTTTGCTCTTCCCCAAAACGAAGACAATTTAGCTTTCCCCTGTAATCTGCTTCCGGTGCACCTATGTACTTTGAAAACGAGGCTTGAACTTCCCGAATTGGAACTCTCCTATCTATCTCTTGTGAAATTCTGTTTCAGTCAGTCACTTGCACGTGCGGTTGATCTAGATCTAGATCAAGAAAGAATACACACACACACACACACACACACACACACACACACACACACACACACACACACACACACACACACACACACACACACACACACATACACACATACACACACACACACACACACACACACACACACTTCA